TTCCATTCTTTACTACAAACACATTACCTAAATCAGTGTTTCTCAACGGGGGCGATATCGCCCCCATATGGGCGTTTTTCCATGTTGAGGGGGCGATTAGTAACAATTTATATTTTGGGGGGTGAAAAACAATTTTCTGGGCGATATAGAAAAACATTATATTAAGAATAATTAGATATTTTATTCGTTATAATGTACAATAATTAAACAAATAACATTATACTAGTCACAAGTCTATTCAATGCAGTACGAATTTGGCGTTAGTCTTGGTCCTCGGCATCAGAATTTTGAAGTGAAAGGGGCGATAATAGGTAATGGTTTTATTGAAGGGGGCGATAATAGGTAATGGTTTTATTGAAGGGGGTGATAATAGGTAACGGTTTTATTAAAGGGGGCAATACTATGTTGAAGGGGGTGAGGATTCGTTAGAGGTTGAGAAACACTGATCTACTGCTTTACAAAATACTGTACTTTATTGGTGACATTTTTTCTTAAAGCCTGGCAACACTAGTAAAAATTAGCATGTTGGGGTAGAGGAGATTAAATTTCCCATGTCAATCATTTTCCTGCATTAGTCATTTCTCCCCATGGTTCTGTCAAAAATGATAGATTGCAAATCCACTGTAATCCCAAAGAAGTAAAAAACATCAAAGAAATATTAAACAAATAGTAAAACAATACAGAATTTAATAAAATAATTTAATATAAAAAATTCTAAACATATACTTTTAGTTTTTAAGTATATTGTGAATATGAAATATCATAATTATGAATAATTTAACAATTTTTGTTTTTTGTAAACTAATAATATTTTTCAAATTTATCATCAATATACAAAGAGAATGATTTATGTAAAATAAAAAAGCTTGAATGGACAAACAGAAAATAAGTTTAATTTTATTTATTTAATAAATAAATAAAAATGTTATGAAAAATTTTCTGACAAATACTCCACATTACATCAAATCTAAGTCAATCATAAGAGATAGTAGAATCCCAATTATCCAAGCCCTGATTAATTGAGGTCTCCATTATCTGAGACAAACCTGTAAGTGAACATACTACTTTTCTTACATAATTCTGTAATTCATAAAAAAGAAAAAAAAAACAATAACACACATTACAAAGTGATTTGTTTCTATTATCTTTTATCATTTAACTTTAATGTGAGACAAACCATTCATATTAAAATGTAACTACAATAATACACATTTTTATTCTTGAAACTTTAGTATGTATTAGTTTTATATTAAACTAGCTTACCCATCGCGCATTNGCAATTTATATTAAAAAATACATTTATAGTTTTAGTGCTACAGTAAATTTTAATTAATTCTTTAATGTATTAAAAGAGTTAATTCTATTTCGATAGATTAAATTAACTTCAATAAATGAATAATTTTAAATTATATTTCAAATCAAATATTTTATTAATGAAATAACAGCATTAATCAGCATAAACTGACCAACAAAAAAATGCAATGTTATGATAAAAATTTTGAAATTTGGCAGTGAATTTTAATCAATCAAGTCTTAAATTTTAAAAAACATTTTATATATACACATACACAAAAAAAATCATATGGCGTCCTAACTTTAAAAGTAACAGAAGCAGAATATAACTAATTCTGTTAAGTTTTAGAATAAATAAAATCAAATAACCTAATTCAATTCTTCTACAGATTTTATCGAAATAACAATAATATAAACTTTTTGTATTGTAATTAAATTAAATATGTATTATTGTTGTAAAAAAACAAGGATAATTCAATATATACATACTTTAACAGCAAATTCTTTATTTGTTTCCTTATGAATGCATCTTTTACATACTGAGTAGGAACCAAAACCTAAAACTTCTTTAAATTCATAATCAGAAAGAATGGAACTTTTGTAGACTTGTTTATTATCAACCTAAAAAAAAAAATATGGTATTAGCAACATATAACATTAAGCAACACATATGCAGCCTTTTTATGTTTATTATTTAATAAAACAAACAAAAAAAAACTAACTTGTTTAATAATGTTTTCATTATTTTTTACAGTTGTGTCTTCATAGAATGTAGAAGAAACAAAGCTAAAACCTCTGAATAGCTCATGTGCATTGGCACTCGGTGGAACACCAGGAGAATCTACTTGTTTATTTTTTAAATAATAAATACATACATTGAATGCAAAACTGCATAATAATAAGGAAAACATGATACAAATGAAGACGAATAAGACGAGTGCTGCCAGCAATGCAAAACGAAATGTATCGTTTACGTCAAGAAATAAGAATGCGTAGTAAATAGANCACCATCACCGTAAAGATTGAGGCATTTGTCATATCTGTGGACGAGCTTTTCCATCCCATCTTCATAGAATGTTGCCACCAATGACTTGAGATGGGCCCTAATGTTGTTTTGAAGATTGTCATTAGTCTCGAACCTCTGCCATCCTAGCCACTTTTTCTGTTCAGAAAAGAGGTGGAAGTCGCTCAGCACTAAATCAGGGCTATATGCTGAGTTTTTTAAGGTGTTGAAGACTTCCACCAGCTTGGAACTTTTTAATGTGTGAAGACTTCCACCTCTTTCCTGAACAGAAAAAAATGGCTAGGAGGGCAGAGGTTTGAGACTAATGACAATCTTCAAAACAACATTAGGGCCAATCTCAAGTCATTGACAGCAACATTCTATGAAGAGGGGATGGAAAAGCTCGTCCACAGATATGACAAATGCTTCAATCTTTACAGTGATTATGTCAAAAAATAACCATGGTTGTACCTAGTTTTGGTAATAAATTCATTTTGTTATTTACACTTGTCTTTTTTTTTATAGACCATAGGAGATTGAAAAAAAACTGCCCTTGTATTATACCAAAAACATTGATTTATATAATTGTGATGTCTTCATTGTCATTTGTAAACTTTTTGTGTAATTTTATTATTTCATTAATTCCAACTGAAGTGGGACTCAGAAAAAGGGTTCTGAAATGCAATTGGGTATATTAGTACATATTGGTTTAAATTTAATTATTTTACAATAAATATAAAAATATATTGATATCACTAAATGATGACATTTAGTGCCGTATCCATTTGGAGGGAGAAAAACAAAATACTTGCAAGTTTCAAATGCTACAAAATCAATGGTCGCAAAGAATTCATGAGCTTTAATATCACCAATGCCATTTGGTCCTGAACCTATTTCATACATATTTTAATAAATATAAAAATATATTGTTTAAATTAAAATAACTTACCTAATCTGTTTGCTGGATTTCTTTTAAATAATGCTCTCAATAGGCTTTGAGCTTCTGGACTAAGAAATTGTGGCATTCCCAGTTTAGCTCTATAACAGAAGAGTATGCATATTTAATTTATTATATTAAATTTTTAAAAAATCTTCAATAATATAAATAAAATTTTACAATATTTGTTTCTTCTGTGCTATTTTATAGTTAAAACATGTTGATATATATAAATGTGATTATATATAGTACAATAAACAAGACTTTATTGGAAAAGCAATGTCATTTGCATGAGGAATTTTTATAAATTAAATTGATTTAAACTCACAGAACTGCATCTGTTGAATTCACAACTCAAAATTTTTGAGTTAATTAAAAATTAAATTTTAACTAATCATATTTTAGCATATTTTGTAAACATTTGTCAAATGTTTGCAATATCAATGGACAGTATGATTTTTAATATATAATGAATAATTTTTTATCATTAGATTATTTTGATGATAATTTTTCTAAACCCAAACATTTTCTCGAAAAAAAAAAGTTGTATTTAATGTTCATTATTATCACATGACTATTTAAAAAATATTTTTAATATAAATTGTATTTACCTTCAATAATAAACACAAATATATTATATTTAGAAAATACACTTCTATTAACTGAATATAAAACATACAATAACTTTAAAATAATAATTTTCAGAGTTTCCATCTCAAATGGATCAATCATATATCTCAAAAACTAAGCAATAAAATAAATGTTTTTAAATAAACATCAACTCACAGCCCGAGTAGATAATAACAACACCAAACGATCGCCTAATTATCGGGCTATAATATGGCTATTTTAAATGATTGGAACTAAGTAATTTGACAAGATGGCGCCTAACGCCTACCTCTAATTGTCAAATTACTTAGTTCCAATCATTTAAAATAGCCATATTATAGCCCGATAATTAGGCGATCGTTTGGTGTTGTTATTATCTACTCGGGCTGTGAGTTGATGTTTATATATA